CAAACGTTAAGGGGCAAACGTTAAGGGGCAAACGTTAAGGGGCAAACGTTAAGGGGCAAACGTTAAGGGGCAAACGTTAAGGGGCAAACGTTAAGGGACAAACGTTAAGGGGCAAACGTTAAGGGGCAAACGTTAAGGGGCAAACGTTAAGGGGCAAACGTTAAGGGACAAACGTTAAGGGGCAAACGTTTGCCCCTAAACGTTGAGGACGTTCAATATGAGCAGTCAGATCGTATCGGGTGTCGGTTCGTACAGTTTGAGGACAAACATCGCAAGCTGTGAAATGAAACTCCGCCATTGATTCGCACAATTTGAGTTATAGCTGCGAGCAACAATTAAAAATACCGACAGGCTTAACCAAGTCTTTACGTCTATGGTGACCTCTTACCTTGACGAGGTATTTCTCCCATCTGTCTGCAGAAACCGACTTCCCAATCTTCCTCAGCAACTTGACATGAAGATCAACCAGCAGCTTTGGAACTGAGGAGACATGAGGATGCTGCGAGTTTATACCGAAAGCTATGAAGAGAGGTTTTCAGAGAAGCAGAGAACTATCAAAAATATTTATTTTCATAAGGATTTCAGGACATTAAACAGAGACAGGCACACATAACACACAAAAAGGTTAATTAGCTATTAGCATCAGGCCTTTTAGCAGATATTATATACATTAAAACATCCTTTCAACAAATTAAGATAACAGCCATAACGATTTTTCCACGATGGAATAAAACTTAAAGGTCAAATTTAGTGGAAAGTTTTGTTTCTTTTAGTGAATACTTTGCCTAAATCAGGTCCAAATCCAGTAATATCCTTGAGGTAAGGGTCAGCGATAAATCGAATACACTCGATGTATCTCGAGTTTCCCAATGCACAATAGTTGAAATGACTGTTGCAGCCTTTGAGTACCAGTTTAATTTTTCCCCACCTACTTTGAATGCATCATAAACCTTTTCTCCAAATTACAGCAACCGGCAAAGGAAACACGGCTACAGGTGTTTTAGCTAAGCAATATAAGGCAGTGGTTTGTATTCAACGTCGAGGATGACGAACAAAAGGCGGTAATTTGTCAGACGTGCTGCAAAAACCATTGCTGCAAAAGGAAGCAGCACAAATTTATTCCACCACCTAAAAGGAAATCTGCTGCAAAACGAAAGCCCAATTTCCACTCCCCCCCCTGAAACCAAACCGTGCCGAGTTCAGACCGAGCTTGGATCAGTTAACCGTGCCGAGCTCGGGTCCTTATGATCGTTTACTAGGGATGGAACGGTTTTTGAAAACCGTCCGAACCGTTCGGTTCGACTGTCTCGGTTCGGTTCATGTGTGTTGCGTTCGGTTCATGCGCTGCTCCTTTTTCTCATAGGCGAAGCGTTTACACTCCAGAGCAGAAGGTGGCGGTACTGCGACCAAAGCCAACCGCCAGTAGTAAACAAGAAGAAGAAGAAGCGAAGCAGCGTAGCCGGGTGTAGCAGAAAAAAATCAGTTGTTGTGGAGAATTGTGTGGGTATGGCGAGTGGGAAAGAACAGGAGTTGGAAGACGCGCCAGCAGCACTTTATAGGTCTGCTGTATGGGACCACTTTGCATTTAGAGTGACCTACGATGACGGCGGAAAGAAAGTTGTGGATAAAAGTGCAACAGTGTGCAAGCATTGTGCAACACGTTTTGTTTATGCTAACAGCAACACGACCAACATGTCATGCTAACAATCAACATATACCGAACCGGAAACCGTGACCACGAAACCGTGGACCGAACCGTGGATTTTGTGAACTGTTCCACCCCTACCGTTTACACATTACGCTAGCATGGAATCCTCGCCTCCTAGTGGCGATCTACAGTACTACTGCTCTCTAGAGGTAGACAAGCAAATCAACATGGCGGTGCCTGTAACATTTAAGAAGTTTGCAGAGAGTTAGGCGAAGAAGGCAGCCTTTGGAGAATTTGCTTGACAGAGTCGGCTTTTGGGAAGTGGATTCGACAAACGATCGTCTAATCAGGGCTTCCAGATGCAGGAAACAACGACAGACATTGATCACACTGCTAAGCAGAATCATCACTGGAAATCTTTTTATGATTGCCTGAAATTTCATGATTATGGAGGCTGACTGTAAGGAGATGAGGCGGTCTGCTCATGCTCTCATTGTTATCTGAGAACCGAGCCAGAACCGAACCACGCCGAGCTCTACTGATGAACTAGCTCCACGTTAGCGCAGTCCGATTCAGTCTGCGTGTCATTTACACTCGACAGTTAAAGCGGTAACCGTGCTCGGACCGATCTTAGCACGGTTTCAAAAGGGGAGTGAAAATGGAGCAGAAGAATGTAGTTAAACCCCGTATGTCAGCATCTTCCCGCACACCAATTAAAACCTTCAATAAATCAGCTGATGGCGTTGATACACTGATAGCAAGTCTGTGATGTATTTAGGTGCTAAGCCATTCACAGATTTATAGACTAACAGAAGTATTTTAAAATCTATTTAAAGTCTGTTTACCCATATATTAATACATTCAGCAGATATGCTTTGATTTGCTCCCTTTATTTGCTTTTATTAATGCTTTCTTTTTGATATGCTATTAAATATTTGTTTAGACAGATTGTTGTTAAATGTTTGTCATCATTGTCATTTTTATCATATAAATAAAGGAAAATGAAGCAATATCAGCAGCACACTGATCGGTTGACTGATCCGAAAATAATAGAAATCAGCCTTTTAATAAACTGTGTCAGTTTAACCCCAATTCACATTATAGACGCTAATTAATTGTTCATCGGTAAAATATTGGAGGGAAAAAGCAAATCAGATGAAGGAGAAGAGAAGCAAACCAAAATAAGACAAAATTATAATAGGAAAATATAATATATAATAAATAAATGTATGATATATACGTCTATTTGCAGGTTAATAGTATTTGATAAACAAATTCTTATCAGGTTAAATGTTAACACTTTTTGTTATAATCCATTTAGGGCTGAAACAATCAGATTAATCGATTATTGAAATAATTTAGTAATCAATTAATCGTAAACTGGAGTATAGAGACAGTTAAATATGCATTTAGCTGACAGAGCGACCCACTTAAGAGCAGGAATTATATCAAAACTGTAAAAAATTAAAAATCAAAAAAAGATATTGCATGCAATATAAAGAAACTTTTTCGTCTGTCAATTTGTTCAATCTAAAACTTCTCAAGTGGCAAAGTTTTGGTTTTATTTCGTAAAAAAATCTTCTTTAAGGAACCTTCGGCTATGTGATTATTAATCGAATAATCCAAAAATGTAATCGATAGATTAATCGGTTTGCAAAATAATTTTTAGTTGTAGCACTCAATCAATTAATCTGTTCAATATTTGACTGATCTATTAATAATCGGACAGCAAAAGGTTCCTTAAAGATTTCATTAAGATTTACAGATTATACACTGTAAAAACGATCAAGAAATAAGGAAACATTTCTTAAATTAAGTGTATTTACCCTTAATTTGAGTAGGTAAATAAGATAGTTTGCCAATGGAATGAGTATTTTTAGTATTAAAATAAGATAATTAGATAATATTAACTTGAAATAAGACAATGCAACTGGGTTTTCTTATTTCAAATCTAAATAGTCTTGTTCCATTGGCAAGATATCTCTTATTTCCTCAATTCAAGAACAAACGCACTTATTTTAAGAAAAAATTACTTATCAAGATTTAGATTTTTTGCAGTGCAGAATTTAAACCCACTGAATTTAAAAGTTTGCCACTACAGCATATTTATCATGTTGCATGGAAAATGGTAATAAACTGCTTTGAGTGGGTCACCACTCCGTCAATTTTATGTTTTAGAGTTTCTATACTGCAGTTGATAATTAAATCGATCACTGAATTAATTGATAATTCAATAATCAATTAATCCTATTAATCAGTTTACGAGATTAATATATTGATTACAACATAAAGAATGATAAATTAAATAAAGCAACTTTACTCAAAGCTACATTTTTTTAAAAACTTGAATAAATTTAAAAATAGGATAATAATCCACCCTTTTAAAACATTCAGAAAAATCAGAAGTTGAAACTATATTTTCACAGCAGGTGATAAATTCATTTGGTTTTCTTTACCTGTTGCATTTAAATGTATTATATCGTACCATAGCGCCCCCTTTAGAAGATTTACTGCCATTACATGCCAGTGTTTAAAAACTAGCTTCTTAGAATGAAAATTAAATTCATCTCATTGACACATCACGCCACTGACACAAAATGCATCATATTTCGTCTATATATGACTAAACTACAGTCAATTTAAATAAAAAAATAAAAGGTTTTAACCAAGTTGCTCCAAGAGAAAATCTGCAAACTTTATTGAGAATCAGAAATTAAATCCCAATCAGCTTTTCAAATAGGAAGCGCAAGAAAAGCGTCAAGTTAGCTTCAATAAGCACCGGAAGACAAAGACCACGACATTTTTACGACTTAAAAAACTATTTAAAAATAGATAAGCAGAATGTGTATAATTACATGTTAATTATATAATTCAAGTATTTGCTCAATGTTAAACGTGAATGGCAAAGAAGACGATAAGCTGTTTGCTCAGGCGTCTAAGTTAGTTTTATTTTGAAAGCTTCAGCCGGATGTCGTCAAACGTGCGGCTAACTTAGCATCGGGTCAGCTATCCACCACCTGAGAATACATTTAACTGTAAATAAAGTGCTTATTCTGACGTCTTCGTCGCAATCCGACGGATTTACTAGCAGCATACAGTGTTACACGACTCGTTGCTTAAACTCTCATCATGCCCAATAACCCGCAAGCAGTTTTTAACGCACATTTATGCTTGTGTTGTTGCACGAGAAGCAGATAAAGGCAGGGAAAAAATTAAGCTCAATTCAAAAGCTAAAAAGTGACAGAAACCATCGAATAAATCGCCATTTTTGTGTTTTAATCTTGGTCAAAATTTGCAGGAAAACGTCTAAAATCTTGAAGAGCGGGGATGGGAGATAGTTAACTTGTGTTTAAGTAAACACGAAGGTTAAAAAAAATCCACACAATAACAGCTAACGTTAGCCCTTAGCACGTTAGCTCAGTCCCAACATCATCAATGCAAGGCTGGAGCCTCTCCGCTGGAGCCTCCTGCTTCCCTGCCCTACCTGAAGATGTGTCCTGCAGGTATCTCTCCAGCTGAGGGAAGGTGAGCTCCGGTAAGTCCAACAGCGCTCCGTAGCGCTCAAGGAATGAGCAAATCACGGCGTAATTTGGACACAAACCGGGGGGAGAACTCGCCGTTGCCGCCGAAGCAGCCATCTTTCCACACCAATGTCAAGCCCTAGCGGAGAGCGCGGGCGCTATTTCCGGTGCTCCTACAAATTAAAACAACACCGGAACAAGCACAGGAAACAGGGCGATATTTAATGTTTACAGGTTTTATTTTTTTATTCATTATATATTTTTTTATTTTATTAAATTATTTATTATTTTATTTACAATACGTTATTTGCTCTTTATGTCGCAGTTTAATTCGTGAATGGTTTTTGTTGTTTTTTTACTACTATTTATCTTGTATAAATAATTTAATCTAAGTATGCATTTTGTCATATTTAGATGTTGAATTTTACATTAATTTACTTTTAAGACATTTTATTTATTTATTTTTAGAGCTGTTTATTCTTGTGGCTTTCTGTCTGACATCATTGTCTGGGGTAAATAATGAATATTTGTATTCTCTTCAATTATTTATAATTATTCATTCATTTATTGATGTTAGGGATTTTATGACTCCTCAGAAATGTAGCAAAATATACGAAAATCACAGATTTTTTTTCAAAGTTCTATATATATATTTTTATGAATTTAATTTATGCTTCCTCATTTCCGACCGTGTAAGCCCAGTGCTAAATTTCTTATGACATTTAATTGCAATTATGTAAAGTCATGTTTTGTTTTTGTTTTCACTCTGCGTTTTCAGAATAAATAATGATTCTCTAAACTATACATATTTAACTACATAGTAGAATAGAGTAAATTCTGATGAATCTCTACATGGCGTTGAGTTTGACCCTTGAAAGGTCACTGGAGAAGTGGGCCACAACTCCACCATCATTTTTTTTCTTAAAATTTATTAAATGAATAATGATACTGAAGTCAAATATGAATTAGAATATTGACTTTAATAAAATAAACACTAGAATAGCTAAACTAATAGTCACATTTAAGATTATTAATATGTTCGGCCACTGGGAGGCAGCAACAAGCCGTGAGCAGAGGCGGATTTAGGAAATTTGGGGCCCTAAGCAACTGCCTGATAACTAAAAGATCTGCCTCCCATTTTACTTTCTAGGAACCACTAGCTTAGCTTCAAAGCAAAGAAAAAACAGTGGACTCTTGGTTATTTTCCTTAGGCTATTTTTATTTCACATTTATTTGTACACAATAAATACAGTCAAACATCCACTGGCGTGTAAATCTGAAGCTTTGCAGACTTTGCAGAGCGAACAGGAAATGTGAGAATTTAATCACTGAACTTCAGCTTCAAGTTGGAGTTAAATCAGGACCAGTAGCAGGTTTAAAACATCTCAGATGGAAACGAGACTTCAGTCCGATTATTTCTCAATACAACAGGGTAAAATGCAAACTTCAAAAATAAGTTTGATGTCATTCAGATCTCAAGGAGATCAACGAGAACACAGCAACAAGGCTGACAGATATCTCTTTCCCTCTGATCTAATTAGTCTACTGCTAAGAAAAAGGTATTTAAATCTAATAAAACTGAAAATGCTAAGATTTTTACAGATATCCATCTCCAAGTTCTCTGTAAACTATTCATGTTTTAAAAACAGAAGCTGTAAAGACACTATGGTGACTATTTAAGGCTAAATAACAGAAAGAGCTGATAAAATAAACATATTTATAAGAATACAGCTGGTAAACAAACCTCAAACATCAACAATACTGAGAGGCAACCAGGAGAAATGAAAAAAAAAAAAAAGTGCTTCACTATGAAACAGGACAGCTAGCAGCTCCAGATGGTTTCCTCCTTAAAAAGGTCAAAGGCGCGTTGAAACTGCCGGACTTCAGTGTAAAGCCACACTGAACCAAACGCTCTATAATCTGCAGGGTTCCTAAACAGTTATTAACAAAAAAAAAACATTCCAGAAGAAAATCTCCAGAGTTTTTATTCCTATATGTTTGTTAAAATTAAAATAGTTTATGCAAAATATTTATATCCATCAGGGATGGGCTTTAAACAAGGAAGAAAGGAAGGGAGTAAGGAGGGGAGTAAAGAAGGAAGGTAGTAAGGAAGGAAGGAAGGGACTAAGGAATGAAGGAAGGGAGTAAGGAGGGGAGTAAAGAAGGAAGGT